CATTAAGTCCTCTTACATTCCAAGTTTCAATCTTCCGTATACCGCAGTCATAAGCAATGGTTCCCATGGATAGTGCCCTCCGTGCCCTTCATAGCTTTAGTCAATCAAGACCTTTCAACAATGCTTTTTAGTCAGACAGAGAAGATGTAGGCTAGATAACCAGCCTTAGTCATACCAATAGTGATAAATAGAATAGAATAAAACTTTATTCTCACTTTAAGTATATGCTAATCAGCATACATTAAAATGAAATGTCATTGCATTCATCTCTCAAAGGATAACCATTATGCATATACCCACATACACACACCTATGTGACATAGAAAAACATCACAGTCTAGTTTGAATGCATGAATATACATGGCCCAAAGAAAAAGAAAAAAGAATCCTAGAAATTTACAAGACGGATGGCATAAGGAACAAAGCTGTTATAAATACTATAAATACTTCGAAACCGCCTCCCAGAGGGGAGCAACAGAAACAGACGGTTAAGTGGGTGTGTGGGGTCTAATCTAAGGATGCTACCCATCAGTCTGGACATGGTTTTGACTGGTTTAGCATAAGCATAACTGACGCTCAGTTTTACTCAAAAAATGCTGATGTTATTCTATGTAAGTCAGAATCTCTAATCTAGAAAACCACCTGGCAGACCAAAGGTTCTATTATTGCCCATATCTCACCTACTGGGGAATATATTCAATCTACTCAGAACATGAAAGGTAATGCTGAAGTACCACAGAAGCTTCTCCCCTCGCATTCCCTCCAGTGGTGGGATTCAAAAAAATTTACTACTGGTTCTGTGGGCATGGCTTGGTGGGCGTGGCGTGGCTTGGTGGGCGTGGTGTGGCTTGGTGGGTGTGGCAGGGGAAGGTTACTGCAAAATCCCCATTCCCTCCCCACCCCACTAACCTGCTTTCCAGCTCCGTTCTCCTGTGCAGGGCAACCAAAGAAGACCCAGCCAATCAGCTGGGACTCAGGAGGCAGAGAATAGATGGAGGCAGGGCCAGTCAGAGGTGGGATTTGCCAGCTCTCCGAACTACTCAAAATTTCCACTGCTGGTTCTCCAGAGCTGTTCAGAACCCATGGATAATTTAGTTATAGTGGATGGTGGAAGGGATGGTTGAAGTAAGGCCAGGCCTGAGAGGAGAGGGATGCCAAAGCTGAGAGGGAAGGGGCACCTCAGGGGTCTCTGACTAGGGGTGATTTTTTCAAGTGATGACCGGCATGGCCATCTAGATAGGGGCCAAAGGGAAGGCCATTGCAGGGGAAGATGCTAACGATGTTTCAAACTAGTGGTGTGTTCTGGCCTTTTGAGCTCACATCCAGACCTTGGACAGCAGTCCCTCAGAGGCCTGAGACTTTGATTGCTACTAATAAATGCCAGGTTGGTCAATAATAAGCTCTCCTCCTTATTTGTGATCTTATTATGGAGGAGGAAGCCAACCTGACATGCATTACCGAGACCCGGCTGACACCAGAGGAGGGACTTCCCCTCTCAGAAATGCGTCCAGTCAGATGTAGTGTTTGGCACCAACCAAAGCTATAGGGCAGCGGTGGGAAATTATGGCCCTTTTAAGACCTGTGGACTTCCTGGCTGGCTCAGGAATTCTGGGAGTTGAAGTCCACAAGTCATCATGGGGCTGTTGTTCCCCACCTCTGCTGTAGGGCGAGAGAAGGAGAGTGGCAGTTGTCATTTGAGAATCTCTTCTGGCCTTCAAGGGGTCATGCTCCCCATGTTTCTTGATGCGAGACCATGTTTTGAAACGGGCCTTGTGGGATCAGTTGAGATTGTGGCTGCTGAACCAGCCTCCCTGCTGCGTAGCAAGCTCCCTGCCTCGGCTGGTACAGGCCATCTCAGGGTTGCCAGTAGAGTTATCCAGGCTTATAGTCCTGGGGGACTTCAATCTGCCATCTCTAGCCGAGAAGCAGCTCAGGAGTTCCTGGCCACTAGAATAGACCTGGGCATATCCCAAGCCATCCATGGCCCAGCTTGAGACAGTGGTCATACTCTGGAAATGATCTTATCATCGCAATAGCAAAGTGCGGGATCTGCCAATATCCCCTTTATCTTGGTCAGGTCATGCCCAAGTGGCTTTGAGATTCTCTCATGCTTTACCCCTGGCTCCCATAGGGAGGCTGGACCAATTTGAATGGCTCATCCCCAGTGACTGATGGACCTACTCAAGTTCTAAAGGGACCTGGGACAGAACTTGGTGACACTGCTGCATGCTCCTATGGTGGCTTTGGCCTGGAATCAGAGAGCAACTGTAGTCCTGGACGGGATCGTGTCTATGGGCCCTCTCATGGCCCTTTGGCCCCAACACTTCCCATGGTTCACAGAGTAGATGGAGATGCTGAAACGGGCCAAGAGATGGCTGGAGCATCGCTGACGGAAAACAAAGAATGAATCCAGTGGTGGGATTCAAATTTCTTTTGAATCTGTGGGCATGGCTTGGTGGGCGTGATGTGGCTTGATGGGCGTGGCTTGGTGGGCGTGGCGGGGGAAGGATACTGTAAAATCTCCATTCCCACCCCACTCCTGGGGGAAGGTTACTGCAAAATCCCATTCCCTCACCACCCCACTGACCTGCTTTCCAGCTCTGTTCTCCTGTGCAAGGCAACCAAAGGAGACCCAGCCGATCAGCTGGGACTCAGGAGGCAGAGAATTGATGAGGGTGGGGTCAGTCAGAGGTGATATTTGCCAGTTCTTGGAACTATTCGAAATTTCCGCTACCAGTTCTCCAGAACTGGTCAGAACCTGCTAAATACCACCTCTGAATGAATCCCAGCAAACACAGGTTAAAGCCAAGATTAAGGCCTCCCTTGTAGCAGTAAGAGAGCCAAAATGTCAGTATTTCTCCACACTTATTGCATCTGCAGGATGTCACTGTTCAAGGTCACCCAGTCTCTCCTCAAGAAAGAGGGGTCAGGTGATCATCTTTAGGGCTTCATGGAGGAGTTTGTGCAACACCTAATGGATTAAATTACTGAGATCATTCTTGGTTGGAGCCCAAGTGCAGTACAATTCTGTTAGAGATGCCCAGGAAATAGACTTTCTTTGTTTTCTGGGAGCAGTATGATCCTGTTGGACCTGAGGAAATGGGCAGGGTCCTTGGGGCTGTGTGATGACCCGGGGTGTGGCACAAAGGCAACACAGTCAAATAAGCAAGAAGAGTCCCTTTATTATCTCCAACTTTGCCCCCAATTGTCCAGGTTACCTTCGGCTGGAGAAAAATTCTCCCAGGAACAGCCTTTAAGTGAAGGAAATTCAGTCTGAAAACAAAGTGCATACAAACTGTAACTAAAAATCCAAACAAACCACACTGCAGTAATTAACTTGACAGGGCAGGAGAAGGAATTGCAGACTTGAAAACCCAGCAAAACACACGCAGTTGGGAAGACGCCAGGAACACAGAGAAGCCTCGATGATATCTGATAATTCACGATTTGCTCCCAACAAGTTGCTGTGCGCAATTTCCCTTTTTAATCACTGTTCCCAGCTGCAGCTAATGAAGGGAATCGGGGCCCTTTCCTCCCCCGTAAGCCACGTAACTCATGTTGCTCCCTTCTCTGTTCCTCCCTGCGTGCCCTAGGATGAAGAGGGGGTGGGCCTGGGTCTTCCTCTGAATTCCCTCTGCCTTGCTCTACCTCTCCCCTGTTCTGCCCAGCCGGACTGTGCCATTCCTCAGTTTCTTCCACAACCAATGGAGCCACATTCCCACTCCGTGTCGGGTGCTTGGCCTCCCCCTCCGAATCAGATTCTGACACGGCATGACAGGCTGTCAGTGCAACTACTTGCTTATTAGATCCCTGTCCCTCTTGGTTATTGAAAGCTTCCAGGACGGTGACTTCTAGGTAGGTGCAGGAGAGGCTTCCTTTGTAGGGAAGGCAGTGGGAAAACTGGTTGCGGTGCAGCTCCAGAGGAAATGGATGAAATGGGATTATCTGGAGCTTTAAAGCCCTTTATGGCATGGATCTGCAGAATTGTCTTACCCCAACGGGTTTGGCCCATCCCATTTGTGCTGGAAGAAGGAGCATACTGTGGATTCCATCTGCCAAGGAATTTTGGCCAAGTGGGATCCAGGAGAAGAGCCTTTTCTGCCATGAATCCTGGCCTTTGGAATATCTTGCTGCAGGAGGTAAGGTCCTCCCCTCTCTTTTAGCCTTCAGGAAAAGCCTTAAAACTTGATCATGCTGGCTGTCTTGGGTTCCTGAAAGAGAACCTACTGGCTGGAGGTGGTTGGTGCATTAACAGAGAAAGTATCCCCATCTCTCTGCTCCAAAACTGTGTGGGTTTTTTTAGATTATGTTAAATTTTTTTGTAGTTTTAAATGGGTTTTATATTTATACTTATTTGAATGTTGATATATTTTTATCTCACTCAGGGCCACTTCAAACCGTTAGATGGATAGCAATACAACAATAAATAAACATAAATAAACGTCGAACTTGTATACAGAAGATGGTTACAAAATCTAAATACTACTTTTATTTTTTTTAAATCAAATCTCTCTCTAGATTTTTCTACAACGTAAGTTTTTTTTAAATAATAATAATAATAATAATAATAATAAAAAAGCAGCATTTACATTTTGTACCCAGTCTTTTTATTTTACGTACAACTTTGTAGTCCAGATTTTATGAATAATCCATTTTGAAAACATAGGGTTAACATCTCATTTTGCAGGAATCCATCCACAGTATTAATCTAGGCTAGAAAGACAGGATGTTTTGTATCCTTTTGTTGTGTCTTTTCATCATGGACATTTTTGCAGCCCACATCTCATAACTCTGTAAAACAAGGCATTTTTATGTACTGTTCAAGGAGCTTCCATTTTACTTTTGCTCTTTGCTAGCTTCTGCTGGCATCTGACAGGCCATGCTGAATCTCTCAAGAATAAATGCAAACCACATTTCAGGCCTATGCAACACAGAGATTTATTACGAGTTGCTTCTCAGCCATTTCAGCCTTAGCTATCCTGGTCTTCATTTGGGTCATCTCAATAGCACTTCCTATGGACAATGTACGGTCCACTCTCATGGTATTGTTCCTTTCTGATCCAACACGGTTGAAAATTTTTCAAGGAAGCAAGTATGGAACCCCCTGTCCAGACGGAATAGTGCCTCAGTGGAACAGCCACGACTTTGACTTTTGTATTTGTGTGCAAGTTGGACATTACATCATGAGTAAATCTCCTTTCAAATCCTTCAAACAGTGATGAACCTCCACATAATATTATGTTTTCATACATCTCCTTCCTGGATTGTTCGGGGACCTTCCGTAAGCTTTTTTGTGCCATGCCATGGATTCCTACAAGCGTAAGTCCAGGCATTTGTGGAGGGCTGAACAACATTTCTGGACATTGAAATCTCTCCTTTCCCAAAGTGATTACTTGGCCATCTGGCAACTGGTAGTCCACCATGTATTCTCTCTTTGGACGATTCCACTCACCCTCAAAATCAAGTGCAACGTAACAGCATTTTTGTTTGATATCTTCAATAACATCCAACATTCTTTCGTCAAAGTAATGCCCCATATCTTTGAGGAGATCCATCAAAAAAGATGTCATATTGGCTCCAGCAATGTCCATCCTTTCTATAGCATGTGGCAAATTGTATCCTTGATGGACTGGTACAGTGTGTGTCATAGCATGGCCTGTATCTACCACTAACCCACTAATTTTCCCATGAGCATACACTGATAGTACAGACTGATATGCCACATACATTCCAGGAGAATTGAGAGATTCAAAGACAACCTCCACCAATTTTTCCCTGTTCGTAGTTGGACAGAGAGGGGGGTCAGACATTAAAAGGGCATGGTCTTCTGGAGCAACTTTGAGGTCATGGTAGAACAGGTGCCTCCACAGTGCTTCAGCTGCTTCCCAGTCTATGATTATGCCGTGCCTTACTGGAAAAATAATGTCAGTATCAGGTTCCAATCGAGCTTGATCTCCAAAGAATGTATCTGGTCTATCTCTTTTTGTCCTCATAGATTTTTCTGTAGGGTGTCCAACTAATGTCCCAATGACTGACTGGGGGGTCTGCTGACCTGCAAATCCAGCTTTACATGTCCCTGTACCAGTATCTATGACAATAGCTCCAGTCTTGACAACTGAACGCCCTCTTTCTGGAGTGCTTGACCTTCCCATGGTAACCCCTCGTTCTCTGGAAGATGCTCGAGATCCGGATGGCTGGTCCAATGCATATCCTGTGGAAGGGGTCCTTTTTCTTGAGTATCCTGGGCTCACTGGCCTTGATCCTGGGCTCTTTGATCGTAAAGATCCAGGACTCCTTGGATAAGAAGGCCCCGGACTGCTTGTCCTGTGACTTCTGGGTAACATAGTGAACGTGTCTCAAGATACCTTATCCAAGAACAAATCACGTTCTTTAATAACCTAAATGTCAAAGGCCTTCTGTTTGCTTTGGCTAAGGCAAGTAGCACTGCCCAATGATGATCTCTTCCCTCCAACCATCACTCGGGGGAAAGTACGTCAGCTCATCCTGCCTCTGTCCTGTCCATCTGGAAGCTTTGAAATGTTCCACAAGGAACAATGGCCAGAAGGAAAGAATCTTAGAATCTTAAGAACTCAGAGGATTCCACGAGTCATCCAGATCAACCTTCGTTGAGTGATGTAAATAAAATTGTCCCCAGGACTTCTTTGATAACCACAAAAAAGGAAAAACATTTAGCTGAATCATGGCAACTACAATAACCGTTGACAAAAGACAGTGCCTTAGCCATGAAAGCTCATTGGCCAACTTTGGAGCCAATCACTGTCTCTTAGCCTAGCATCCCTTCCAACCTTATTCCAAGAAAATTGGAGGAAGAAGCATAACGTTTAAACCATGGAATGTTAATACAACAGAACAGTGATGGGATTCAAATTTTTTTACTGCTGGTTCTGTGGGCGTGGCTTGGTGGGCATGGCAGGGGAAGGATACTGCAAAATCCCCATTCCCTCCCCCCTCCTGGGGGAAGGTTATTGCAAAATCCCATTCCCTCCCCACCCCACTAATCTGCTTTCCAGCTCTGTTTTCCTGTGCAGGGCAACAAATCATCTGGGACTCGGGAGGCAGAGAAAGGAAGGGGGCTATTGGCCGGTTCTTCGAACTACTCAAAATTTCTGCTACCAGTTCTCCAGAACTGGTCAGAACCTGATGAATACCACCTCTGAACAGAACTTTTCTTTTTCCAGGCTGGTGTGTGTGTGTTTGTGTGTGTGTGTGTGTGTGTGTGTGTGTGCCTTCAAGTCAGTCTTGACTCCTGGACTAGCCCCTGCAATTTTCTTGGTGAGGTTTTTCAAAAGCAGTTTGTCGTTGTCAGATGGAGGGAATAATAGCTTCCTGAGAAATAACAATATTAGTTTGTTGCAACAGCACCAGTAATGCTGTGGATTATCTGTGGAATCTTTAAGACAATGACTGAGTTGGTTAGTTTTGATTATCAAGATGATCACTTTAGGATGGCAAGATGTCATGATAACGAACCCTAACAAACGGGTAGCCATGTATCATAAGTGTATAGAGCTACAGTTCTGAAAAAAAAAATCTTACAATGGCTGGGTCCCTAGAAAGTTTGGATTGAACAGGTATTAATTCTGAGACCAGATTTAAATCTGCAGCCAATAAATACAAGTCACATTTCAAATCTAAGCAAGCTTAGTGGTTTATTATGGGCCACTTCCCATTTTAATCCTAATTAACTTGGCTGGGCCCAACTCAGTAGCATTGCCTGTGCACAATACATGGTCCATACTCTTGGTATTGTTCCTTTGTGATCCAACATGATTGGAAGTTTTTCAAGGAAGCAAGAACTGAACCTCCAGTCCAGACAGAATAGTGCCTAAGTGGAACAGCTGTGACTTTGATTTTTGTGGTGGTCTCCAAATTAGTTGTGATATCTTGAGTAAATCTCCTTTCAAATCCTTCAAAAAGTGACGACCCTCCACATAACATTATATTTTTATACATTTCTTTCCTGATTTCTTCAGGAAGTTTCAATAAGCTTTCTTTGGCCATGCCTGGGATGCCTAGAAGAGCAAGCCCAGGCATTTGTGGTGGATTGAACAACATCTCAGGGCACTGGAATCTCTCCTTCCCCAAAGTAATTATTTGGCCATCTGGCAATTGGTAATGCACTGTATTGTCTTCCTCTGGACAGTTCCACTCAGTCTCAAAATCAAGTGCAACATAACAGCATTTTTGTTTGATATCTTCGATCATATCCAGCATTTTTTCATCTAAGCAATGTCCTATGTCTTTAAGGAGATCCATCAAAAAAGAGGTCACATTGGCTCCAGCAATGTCCATCTTTTCTGTGGCATGTGGCAAGTTGTATCCTTGGTGGACTGGTACAGTGTGTGTCACAGCATGGCCTGTATCTACTACCAACCCACTAATTTTCCCATGCGCATACACTGACAGGACCGACTGATATGCCACATACACTTCGGGGAAATTGAGGGACTCAAAAACAACCTCCACCAATTTCTCTCTGTTGGTAGTTGGTGAAAGAGGAGGATCAGACATTAAAAGGGCATGGTCTTCTGGAGCAATCTTGAGTTCATGCTGGAAAATGTGCCACCACAATGTTTCTGCTGCTTCCCAGTCTGTGATTATGCCATGCCTTAATGGAAAAATTATATCAATATCAGGTTCCAATCGAGCTTGTCCTCCAATGAACGTGTCTGGTATATCACTTCCAATCTTCATGAATTTTTCTATCGGTTGTCCAACTAAAGCCCCAATAACTACCTGTGGAGCCTGTTGACCTGCAAATCCAGCTTTGCATGTCCCTGTACCAGTATCTATGACAACTGCTCTTGTCTTGACAATGGAACACTCTTTATGTGGAGAATGTGACCTGCTTCTGGAGGGCTCTTCTCTTTTTGATGACATCCAAGATTGAAACATCTGGTCCAAAGCATATCCTGGGGAAGAGGTCTCTTTACTTGCATGGCCCAGCCTCACTGGCTTCTGGTCTGGACTCTTTGATCCTGAGAATCCCAAGTTTGTTTCTTGCAAAGGCTCTGGAGTGGTTGGTCTAGAACCACTGATTGACATTGTAAATAGAACTTAAATTATCTTCCACTAGATTCCACTATGATTTACAACATTTAAACCCCACCTTCTTTCTTCTACAACACTAAAATGAAAGGCACTTGCTTTCACTCAAGACACATAAAGGAGAACTATGACATCACATTAGAATTTTCAGCAGATTTTTCAGCTAGCCAAGTGTGACAGTATTGTTAACTCCTTATCTCTATGAAAACTTGGGAATGTTGGCTAGAAAATGATGGATAATGAGCTACAATTTGGAAATTGTATGTGTGCAGGTGACATCATGAATGACTTCATACAACATAGAAAATCATCCAATACCATTTTTGCTCAATTTTGTTCAAATGGAACTGGGTGAATGCATTACCATATGAGACAATCGGATGAACCCCACAATATGAAGAACAGAAGGAAAATACAGATCTGCATTTGTTTTCAATTCTGGTCTTAAATATAATGGTCCTTTACTATGCCAATGCATGCTGTTTCTCTCCAAATGATCCTAATTTAAGCAGAAGACACAGAATGTTGTTGGAGTGTGAGCTTTTTGTAGCCAGAAAGTTGCAATAAAGTTGAGAAATGAATAAATCTAGCACAAATTGGTAGGGATTTGCAGTGAGAAGCTAGAAAAATATTGTGGGTGCTAAAAATGTAATTACACAAGTATTTAATTGAAATGAATGAAAGGAAACAGGATCTAAGTCAAGGGAGACTTGGCTTTAGGGACCTGCTTTCCAGGGAATTGAGGATATTGGTAATTATTTGAATGTAAACCATGTAAGAAAACCATTCTTGTCTGTGCATACATAGAAGTTTCAACTTTTCTTACCAGATCCAAAGAGGGAGACAGGAAATCACCCGTTAGAGATGGTTGGAGAGTTTAATTTATTTATTTATTTGATTTGTCCATTGCTTACAAGATAATAGGTATAAGTATAAACATGAGTAAGAATACAGAAAATAGATACGATTAAATGGGGACATTAGGACAGGGATGGGAGGCACGATGGTGCACTTATGCATGCCCCTTACAAACCTCTTAGGAATGGGGTGAGATTAAAGGAGTGGGGGGTTTGAGGATGTAACTACAGAGTCAGGTAGTGTATTCCAGGCATTGATCACTCTGTTGCTGAAGTCGTACTTTCTGCAATCAAGTTTGGAGCGGTTAACATTGAGTTTGTATCTGTTGTGTGCTCTTGTATTGTTGCAGTTGAAGCTGAAGCTGAAGTAGTCATTGACAGGTAGGACATTGTAGCAGATAATGTTGTGTACTACGCTTAAGTCCAACCGTAGGCAGTGTAGTTCAAGATTGTCCAAGCCCAAAATTTCAAGTGGTGATATAGGGTATTCTGTTGCGAGCAGAGGAGTGTAGTACTCTTCTCATGAAATACTTCTGGACTCGCTCAATTGTATTAATGTCCGATATACAGTGCAGATTCCAGACAGATGAGCTGTATTCAAGTATTGGTCTAGCAAAAATTGAGTATGCCCTAGTTAGCAATTCAATATTTGCAGAGAAGAAGCTTCGTAAGATTAGATTTACAACTCTTAATGCCTTTTTGGCAATGCTGTTACAGTGAGCTCTGGCACTTAGATCATTAGATATGAGTACTCCTAGGTCATTGACAGAGTGAAGGTCATCAACAAGGTCATATCCGCCTAGTTTGTACTTGGTGTACTGATTTTTTTTTACCAATGTGTAGGACAGAGCATTTGTTGGTCGAGATTTGGAGTTACCAAATGTTTGACCATTCAGACACATAATCAAGGTCACTTTGAAGAACAGTAGCATTATTGGTGGTGTTGAATAGTTTTACATCATCTGCAAAGAGGATGCAGTTGCTTATAAGGTGATCGCAAAGGTCATTTATAAAGAGTATAAAGAGTGTGGGTCCTAGAATGCTGCCTTGGGGGACACTGCTGTTAACTGGAGCAGGGTTTGATATAGCGCTCCCTATTTTTACTATTTGTTGCCTGTTTGACAGGAATGCAATAATCCACTTATGAAGAGATCCGAAAATGCCATAAGAGTTTAGTTTTAACAGTAGTTTGTCATGTATCACTGAATCGAAGGCTTTGCAGAAGTCTATGTCTATTGCTTTACCTTGGTTAAGTAGAGTAGTCCATATGTTTTTGCAGTGTAGGAGTTGTAGGTTGCAGGATGATTTTTTCCTGAAACCAAATTGTTTTTGGGAGAGTAGGTTGTTTGCCTCTAAGTGGAGAGTGATGAATTGGTTAATGATTGTTGCCATGACTTTGCATGTGACACAACACAGTGAGATTGGTCTGTAGTTTTCAACCTGGCTGGGGTCATCTTTTTTGAAGATAGGGATGACCGTAGCTAAGGACCATAGGTTCGGTAAGGAGCTGGTTCTGAATGATATATATATAATGGTTAGGGGTGCTGCTATGGCAGAGGAAAGCTTTTCTAAGAAGTATGCACATAATCCATTGGGGCCAATAGTTGGCAGCAGCGGTGGTTATAGACTAGAACTGGAGTCCAAACGATCATGGTGGTGCAGTGGTTAGAATGCAATATTGCAGGCCAACTATGCCCATCGCCAGAGGTTTGATCCTGACTGTCTCAAGGTTGACTCAGCCTTCCTTTCTTCCAAGATCAATAAAATGTGGACACTGATTGTTAGTGGCAATATGGTGACATTGTAAACCAGTCCAAGAGGATCAGAGGTGGTTTTCAGTAGGTTCTGACCAGTTCTGGAGAACTGCTAGCGGAAATTTTGAGTAGTTTGGAGAACTGGCAAATACCCACTCTGACTCGCCCCGCTCCCATCTATTGTCTGCCTCCAAGTCCCAGCTGATTGACTGGGTCTTCTTTTGTTGCCCTATGCAGGAGAACGGGGCTGGAAAGCAGGTTAGTGGGGTGGGGAGGGAATGGGATTTTGCAGTAACCTTCCCCTGCCATGCCCACCAAGCCATGTCCACCAAGCCACACCACACCCACCAAGCCACGCCTCAGAACCAGTAGTAAAATTTTTTGAATCCCACCATTGAAGAGGGCTGTAAAGCTCTGTGGAGCAGTATATAGCAATAGCACTTCACAGTATTTTTACAATCCTCTCTAAGCGGTTTACAGAGTCAGCATAATTGCCCCCAACAATCTGAGTCCTCATTTGACCCACCTTGGAAGGATGGAAGGCTGAGTCAAACTTGAGCCTGGTGAAATTCAAATTGCAGGCAGCTGTCTTTCAACAGAACTAGCCTGCAGTACTACATTCTAACCACTGTGCCACCAACACCTTTAAGCCTAAGAGCTATTGCTATTACTTTCAGTCAGACATTAACATAATCATTATTAAAATAGATTTTTATCCCACTGTTCTATATATATTACTCAAGCAGGTTAGCACACTTAGTAATCCTACCTCCTATTTTTTCCCCACAACAACCATTCTATGAGATGGGCCCAGCTGGCTCATAGGCCTAAGAAAGGGCTAGATAACCACAGAAGGCCTGGTTTTGCCAAATGTTTAACCCAGTCAGCCATTCATACCATCAAATCTGTACACGGATAGTGCTAACATCCTGTGTTATAGTGATCATATGTCCTTTGTTATAAAGGACAGTCCTCTGTTTCAGATAGTTGTCCTTTAGATTTATTTAATTATTTTCTTGGTTTTGCTCTCGAATTTTCTTTGTAAAGCAAAGTTAGAAACACAAATAATTTTCCCTTTTAATCCTTATGAACCTCTTTTAGATTTACCCCGCTTTCAGGTTTGTCCTTTATTTTGTTTCAAGAAAATATGGTCAGTATAATTAAAGGTAGTTCTCGACATATGGCCACAACTGAGCCCAAAATCTCTGTGGCTGAGTGGGCTTTGCCCAATGTTATGACATTTCTTCCATGTTATGACATTTCTTTTTGTTAAGTGAATTGCTGCTGCTGTCAACTTAGCAAAATGGTTGTTTCACTAACTTAACGACTGCAAAGTTAATGGGGAATCTGGCTTCCCCGTTGATTTTGCTCATCGGAAATTACAAAAGGTGATCACATGATCCCAGGATCCTGCAACCATCATAAATACACGCCAGTTGCTGAGTGTTTGAATTTTGATCACATGTCTGTGGGGATGCCGCAAAGGTCATAAGTGTGAAAAACAATCATACATCACTTATATCAGTGTCATTGTAGCTTTAAATGGTCACTAAACAAACCGTTGTAAGTTGAGGACCACCTGTATCCTATAAAATGGGTCCCAAGTGGGCTGTTTTGTGAGAGTGTGTCTCCATCTTCTTTCTCCGGGAAGCTCCACAGGTAGAAATGAGGCGTAGGAAGGGAGGCGGCAGCTCGCCCTTTACATCACAAGCCCCGCAAAAAGGAGTCACGTGATCCAAGACAGCCAGTAGAAATAGAGAAGGGGGTTCTGTAAGGTTTTGTCGGGAAGACTTTGGTGAGAGACTTGGCTGGAATCCTGAAAGGTGAAGGGGGGCATTTACCTCCGACAAGCTTAGAAATTGAGGAGTTAGAATTTTTAGTTAAAAATAAATTACGTTAAGGGTTGTTTTTCATGTTCTTTCAAACTGACAGTTGTGCCTGTAGAAACTTATTTTATTTTAATATCTTTTATAAAGTTAGTTAGTTAATTAGTTTATTTACTTATTTATTTCTGAGGGTATTTTTTTGCATCAATCATGGAATTGACTGGAGGCCTTTTATCACTCGCCTCAAATTGGCTGAGCTGCAGACGTTCAAAATTTTTAGCTTCCCCTTCTACATTTAGCCAGGGGTGAGAATTATGGTGGGAAAGATTTTGATGGCAGAGTTGGCTGCAATCCTGAAAGGTGAAGGGGGGCATTTACCTCAGACAAGGTTAGAAATTGAGGAGTTAGAATTTTTAGTTAGAATTGTCTTAAAGGGTTGTTTTTTTAGTGTAATGTGGTTATAGTATTATCATTTAGCCTTCTTATTATCTCCTTTACTCCCACCTTTTATTGGTATTATTCTTATGATGATTATTCTGTTGTTTTGCATGTGAACTGAGGGCTTCTGTACCAGAGGTTACTTCCTTGTGTGTCAAATCACACTTGGCTAACTAAAGTTCAATAAAGTAAGGATGAGGGTCCCTATTCGTTCTTTTCACATACCCACAAAGTTTTCATGGTATCATTTCTTGAGAATTCAAATGTTTTACTAGGCTAAAATAGGGGAATCCAGCCTTTATCTTTGCATGTTATATGACTCAGCTGTTGTGTTCCAAATCTTTAAAATGGAAATGAGATTTATACATGCATATTTTTCAGTTTTATAGATATAAAGAATCATGAAGGGAATTTTATAACTGTACTGAAGCATATAACATATGGACAGATTTTCCCCCTATTGTATATGGTCTACTAAATGGAAATTTATCTAACTGAGTAAGTAAACGTATTATTTACCTGTATATGAAAGGCACTATTTGGTTAAAGATACTCTGTGGTGAAAAAGTGAATGATCACTGTGTAAAGAAGCACAGTAAGATAGACTTAAACTTACTTATTCACTACTAGCTGCTAATACAAAATTGTTAAGTAACATTTAATTGTTTATAATTGGCTAGTATTATAATGAATAAGAGGCAAAAAAAATACTGTAATTGTATCCCCACACATCTAAGGTACTTTGCTGCTAGAAAAAGAACTGAAAAGAGAAGGATAAGTTTGATGTAAATACTGTATCATTTTGGGATGGTGGCAACTAAATTTTAGCTAACCAGAAAATTAATGCAGAAAGAATTATGCCATTTCTGACTAAAGCTGATTTCTTCATACTTATATTTTTCTTGTACTCAGTATTCTAAGACTTGAGTTCATAGTCATATATACCATGACTGTCTTAAAAAAAAGGTTATTTTAGATTCTTGGTAGAAGTTTAGGTTTCATTTTGTTTTTCATTTTCTTGCTAATGTTTATTGATTTGTAAAAAATGAGGAACATTTGATATATCTAAAAAAGGATTGAAAATCATTTCTACCCAAGTTACATTATTTTCAAAACAGATATTACAGTATAGTATACTACAGTACAGTATGACATAATTTCAGCTCAGTATATATTTTCTTTTTACATTTTTTTAATGTGCAATAGAATTCATTGATGCTTTGCAGTCTCAAAAGAATGCAAATTGTTTAATACTGATCCATGCTCCAGGCAAAATCTCTCTTTTTTTGGCACTTAAATAATCTAATCTGTAGTTTTTATAGATATTTGAAAAGATACTCCTAGTTTCACAACACATAATAAATAATATGACAGGGCACCCCATCAATCTATCAATCTGGTGGTCTTCCACAGAATATGCAGTATCTTTTCTTCATCAAGACGTTCATTCCAACTATGGTAAACACATTTTTGTTGCACAATATGTGCAAGATTGAACTCTGCAAAAAGGGTCTTCTTGCAGGGAAGGAGCCAAGTTTCCAAAATCTACACCACTATGATTTTTGCATGTCCATGCATGGGAAATAGAGGCCAAAAATATTCCTTTGGATCTGGTACTTGCCTGCTCTCCTCTTCACCCACACAGCAGTCTGATTAAAGACAGAAATAAAACATTTTATGCACATACAAGTGGAGTGCCTTCCTTCTTTTGTCCATTTTCTCTCTCATGATGGACATTCCTACAGGAGTTAACGGTCTCAATTCCATTTGACTTAGTCAGAGGGAGAAACGAATCAGAAGACCCCTTCCATTGGCCCCATTAACTGCTTTTGGGGTCCTTCATTCCCAGAATTGCTTCCATTAAAATCCTTGGAGGTCTCAAGGGAACTGTTTCGTCACATTCCCATCCACTATTATTAAAATTCTTCTGAAAAAAATATACACACTCTTCAGGTATTTATTGGAAGAATGTTGAGGATTCTTTATGTTAGAGACTCATCATTAGCCCTCTACTTTGAAGCATAGTGCATACATACCAAGACACATAGAAGGAAGAAAAAGATGGAACCCAGTAAGACGGAGAAGCATATGAGGATGATGGCCCAATAAGGGAGCTCTGGAAATAAGAAATAATGCAAATGCATAAATTTAAAGATGAAATTTACACCCTGTCCATTTACCCCCTGTCCATTTCCACTCTTCTCATTTCCACAAGCCACATGCATGTGCATCTGTGCTTTGGATAGACTATGCTGATTCTGTTTCAGTTTACAGCATCTTCTATAATCTATACCATAACAATTCTACATTTCTTCAGTTCAACGCAGAGGGAATGAGGACACTGAAATCTGAAGCTAAAGTATCTTGGGATAAAAAATCCTAATTACCTTGTTTAGATGGTCCTGTTGCCATGGTTGAAGGAAACACTAGAAAAGAATGGAAGGAAGGAAGGGTTCCATTAAATATGGAAGGGGTAAAAGATAGGAAGAGTCCAGCGGGGATCAAACAAGTCAAGATGACAACCACCACCATGCAACGGAAGCTTTGCTCTTTTTTTATTTTACATGTGATGCTTTCATTGTATGTGATAGGTGCCATCTTGATTGTTTTTTTACACCATCACCCACCCATGGAAATCCCTGGCAGAGCCCAAGATTCTCACCTTGACTTATCTCTCCTTTTCTAATTTATAGCATCTACCTCTGTCAAACATACCTTGTGCTTCCCTCATCTTACCATTAATATTTATGCTGTTATTGTCCAGGCTGTATTTCCCCATTAGGGTGGCATTCTGAGTCAGGTTTTTAAATATATCATACACAAGGTCTTTGTCAAAAGTCCTTGAACCAAACTCCACTGCAAATGCACAGATAGAATTGACACCAATTTGAGTTTCATTGCTAGTGGGTCTGAAAAAGAAAAATACAAACCATGGTAAATATTAAAAACTGAGGTTGAGAAGATAAAAATCTGATATTCGTATTTGTTAATGTAAAAACAAAAGACTCATTAGAGTTTTGGAACAGTAGTGGCAGTAGCAAATACAAACAACAAATAGATTTGTGAATGTGGACTGGATAATCAATTAGCTTTGCATTCTGTTGAAAAACACACCTCAAGTTTTTCACTGAACAGCCCAGAAAACTCTTGTTCAGATCACTGCGTTGATACAGGTGGTTGAGCTGTTCCAAGGAAAAAGAAGGGGATGGATTAATGGACTACCAGGAATAATAATAAGTTAAGAAAGAACCAAACCTATTCCTCTTCTTTAGGTTTGAAACAGAAAACTTCTTCCATACTTAATTCTGCTTTAAGGAACCATGCTGGCTAAAGCTGCAGCATTATCCTTCGCATAAGAGGTGTAAAATGCTCATGGTGTCAAATGTGGGGTGATAGATATAAAAAAAAATCACTACAAATTAATATTATGTGTTCCCCCTTGTGTGAGGAACACAGGGGCCCACACAACCATGGGGTTGGCTGCACCTTGCCTCTATTAATAACTGCAAAATTTTCCATCTTGGATTTCTTCACCTTTTGAAATTTTATAAAACAGAGTCTGGTTTAATAAAACAGAGTCTGGTTTAATAAAACTGTTAAGGGACTCTGGCTGGTGCACAATGTAATCAATAAAGTTAAATATTAAAAACAGAATAATTTAGGATTATTTTTTTTAAATATAAAACATTATAAAATTTCAAAAGGTGAAGAATTCAAGGTTGGAAAATTTGCAGTACAATGGACATCATAACTGGCTTGCTCATGTGAATTGTAAAATGGAGCAAAATTGCGATGATCTGCTCATTCCTATTCCTAAGGAGTTAAGCTAGTTGTTAGATATTGCATCTGTTGCTAATTGGTGGTTCTGCAGGGCATTGTATTTTCTGGCTATGTTAAACTGCCCAAGATGCCTTTTAGGTAATGGAGAAGATGACCGAAATCTTACTCAATTCTCCACTTCAGTATCTGACTTCCATTTGACAAAATATCTATCAATGTGCAGAATTTGTCAAGGGATCCACTTTCCCTCTTCTAGCTCTGAAATGGAAGATGAATAGAACAACTTTTTTTGTAAATATTCTTGCATTTCTTTAAAAGCAGGGGGCATGTGGACTAACAGATAGTACGTTAATTTTTCTTTCCAAAGTCAGTCTTATTATAATTACAATACTTCTTCTTAAACATACTCTAATTTAAAGTCTTTGCTTGGGAGCAGAAAGGAACAAACTTGAAGATTTGGAGATGAAAAATATGATTGGGGTGGGATATATTTGTTATTGATCAATCTTTTTTTAAGGGAAGGCACTTAAACAATCACACTGCCTTCTGTTGTGCTATAACATTACATTAGCATTGTTCCAATGCACAATGGATAAAGAAAAAAAATCTCCAAAGTTTAGAACTACTGCTGTTTCTTCTTGTAGGCAGAAAACGTACACACATTTAGGGACTTTAACATCAGTTAATCCTATAGATGTTTTCAGCCATTTACCTCATCCTTGATGCTCGCTTTGGTTTTCTGATAAACCTCTGATTTTGGATTCTTCATGTTCTTGTATGGCAAGTTGGTAATGGTGAAATTTACAGTGAAGTTCTTCACCTTTAGCATGTGTGGGGGCTTATCAGTTACTGCTTTGGTATTTGTTTCAAGAATTTTCAATAGAAAAAGGAATGCACAAATATAATAAACATTTCTTTTCATGTAAATTTAATAATCACTCAGTCAAGGCAATTTGAAATGGTGTACAAAAGCTAACAACAATGCAATAATAATAATAAACATAAGTATTTAATTAAATAAATAAACTATATAATTTTAAAATATAGTTAATGTAACCCTCCTGTGTTTTAGGAAATACTTTTCTCTTCAGATTAGTACAGAAGGGTGTTTTATAATATACACATGGGATCGGTTGCACCTATTTTTATAGATTATTATTCTATAAATGTATCTAGGGTTGTTTTTGTTAATTGTTCACTGTTACTGCCTAAAGCCTTTGGGACAAAATAATATAAAATATATAATAAACAAACAAACATTCCACACATGGTGGAGGTCCTCTCACTCCAAGTCCAAAAGGCTTGTAGCAAAGTTATTATAAGCTTCTGAAAGACCCTAAGAGTGTTAAAAATCTGCCTGCTTGCCCGCCCACCTTCTAATCTAATCTAATCTAATCTAATCTAATCTAATCTGTCTCCCTTTTTACGGCCCTAAAATCCCTTAATTTGGGCTAGAGTTGCGGTGACTGAATGGAGCTGAGCATTTACTGGCCAGATGCGCTTCCTGACACCAGGTGGAGATTGCAGTAGATATTTTTTCTTTGTGGCCTACGAGAGAAACATCTGCCACTACCTAAGATTAACTTCTCAATTTTCTGAGTGGCAGGTGAGTATCATCACCATGCTGCTCAGATCTGTCTGTCTGTCTGTCTGACTGACTGATATAAGTAATAGGAAAGGAAATATTATAGATTTCATAAAGGTGTGAGCCCTACATTAATGACCATTACCATTTTAGTTCATGCCAATCTTTATACCTTCAATGGTGAAACCCATGATTTGGAACCTGCTACCCAGCCACTGAGAAGTGGCATTCTGGGTCTCTTGTTGAAAAACATTTTTGATGGTGTCTTTGCTGTTATTCCCTGCAGGATGGAAGTAACACTTGCAATCAACTATGATGGAACCAATTCTAAAAAATATAGTGGGGGGGGGAGGGGTTAGGAAGAGAGAGAAAAGACATGAGTTGACTTCAGATTAAAGCTAAGAAGCAAGTCGGATTAGCAGTAAAATATTTTAATCTGTACAAGCATTTCAAATTGTATTACCGCTAGGTAAAGTCAGACATTTTCAGAGGCAACTTTCAAAATCATCCTGGGTTTTGATGTCTTGATGACATGACTAAGATCAAAATGCATACAGAACAAAAGATTCCTACTATGGTATGCTGAAACTTCATAACCAAAGTATTTTGCTAATATATTAGTGGCCATAAATAGCCTTTTTAGTGGTGCAGAATTTCTAGCCAGCAGAACCACTGAGAGCTATATTTCCTATTATCTTAGTCAAAGGCTTCTCAACTGCCCACAAAGAAATATATTGCTCTTGGCTTCCTTTTACTGAAAAAGCCAATTTGGCTAAGTCACTAAACACTAAATTCAAAAATAAGGCCTGATATACAGTGGCTGAGGTTAAAACCCAACAAATTCAGCTAAAACCAGATAAGCCACATGATGGGTTATTATGTACATTGACCTATTAGGAGCGGGGGCGGGATTTACTTTGGTGGAAATAATAATGCATCTCCATGAAGTTTCTAGATTTCAGCACGTTAAAAAATGAAGATTTCCTGGTAACATTTCCCATTCTGATATCTGCATTAGGTAAGCAAGTTAACTTTTGTCTTATTTATAAAATAAGGTTGGATTCACACAACTAAAATTGGCTACGATAATAGCTTGTTGGGAATTTTGTGATTCAATGTGCTGCAGCTATCAGACACTGACAATATGTTGTATGAACAGGCTAGCACATTAATAATAAGATAGTCCATTAGTTTGGGATTAATATACGTGCGTGCAATATTTCTCTTTATCAAGCTGGGCTTTTTGTGTTATCAGAACTACATAAATGAGGAACATGTCAACTAGCTGACCACCATGACCTGAGGTATTTCTATGCCTCTGATGATTAACCAATGCTGCAATACTCCAAGTGAACCATACTTTTATTTTTTAAAATTCATTTTTTTCAATTTAGATGGCCGCTCATCTCAAGTTCATGATTTTGTGCAGCTAACAATATTTAAAGCAGGAAAAAGACAATACACATTGTCTTTTCTCTATTTTAAATAATGTTAGCTACACAAAATATATATAAACCTATCTAATGTAACTATTACATTATATATATAAAATATATATAAACTTATTAATGATAAATGAACATAACCATAGCATGGGCTCAGCCATACCTCCTGACAACTTAGGCCCAGTGACAGAATCATGTCTGCTTTTGTTTTCACTCATATCCCTGCCCTTAATTCTTTCAATCAATATCAACTGGACTGGAATATTTCAATGTCTTGAGAAAAATCTGGCCATTCTCATATTTGATTATTTTGGAATACCTTTCCTAAGATACCAGCTCAGGAGCAGCAGGGCCTGGCAACCTTTTTAATGCCAAGAGCTGCATTTTCTAGGAATGATCCGTTTAGTGAATCTACATGGGAGGCCTAGTAAGGAATGAATGTGACCAGTGCTTAAAATGGGCATTCTGTTTCTGGTACATAGTTTATTATTCTTTCTAACTTCCCCCTTTCCCCCCCTCTTTGAGACACTTTTCTTCCCTCTCTCCCAAACTGCAATTTAGAAAGAGCTCCTGATGAACTTGCACAGAGCTTTTGTAATTAGGCCCAGCTATCCAGGGCTAGCTAATGGGTAAATGGATGGAAAGCAATGGCCTGTGTGCAGGAAAGAGGTAAGGAATGAAATTCTCTTTTATTTTCAGTAGCTCTAAATTGTATCAGCTGTAAAGTCTGAAGAAATGTAAAAATTGGGGAGTATTATTTTGATGTCTATCCTGCAATGTTTGATCTACTTTACTTGGAAAGGTGGCTAAGGAAGGGAAAGGAGACTCTAGTTCTTTTGCAGACATGCTGGTTTGGAATTCTGGAAGCTAAAAGCCCAAAGTGCTTGGAGAATGTGAGTTGGGAAATACTGTGTTTTCTTGTTTTTATTTTATTATGTGTAGGTTAATGCAATATTGATAAATAGTTTCCTAGTATGCTGCAAAAACAATCCCTTACCTAGAGAATACTATCTCAGTTAAAAGTTTTATGTAGCCAGATTGATATCTTCAAGTGCTTGAGGACAGATAAGATCCAAACAATGAGTGTATAGACATAATTTAAATATTTTATAAAATCATAATTTACTTAATTATAGTTTCTTGAGTAAGCCACATCTGGCTGAATTCATGTACCATAATAAGCCATAACAATTCATTTGGTTTTGATTTAATTATTTATGAACTCGATATCAAGGTCTTGCTCAGAGCCACCTTTGGTAAATACTAACCTTAATTTAGTTACAGCACAAATTTTGAATCCATCGCTGATGAAGCTCTGTTGGAAGAGTTGATTCAACTGGAATCAAATCAAATTAAATCCTATTAAGCTTAAATCTGCATGTTAAATCTCTTGTTTGGTGCATAATAAGTTACCTACACTATTGAATTGTGAAAGAGGTGAATACCCAAAACAGATCTGAGAACAAACTGTTCCACAAGAATTACACTACAGTTGCAGTTTAATCATTAAGTGTTGTATATTATGATTTATGATGAATGTATTTTTATGTTGACTGTGATCATGTTTTATCACATAGCTTATGCACTGAAGACAAATTCCTTGTGGTCCAATCACACTTGGCCAATAAAGAATTCTATTCTATTCTATTCTATTCTATTCTATTCTATTCTATTCTAT